TCGTCCAAGGCGTGTCCGCTCCAGGCCTCGTTAACTTTTCTCAACGTGTACCTGCGTAATCTACCCTTCTCTCATACTTGATCCGATAAGAAGTAAACGTCGAAGGTGCCCTGCGAAAACGTCTTGGCGACGCCGTGCACGCTCGCGTTTGTTGTTTGCAAACTGGCGTATGCACCGATCGCACGAGCTTTTTATCAACGTCTACAAAGAGAGATTAAGAGGCGTGGTTCTCCATATAGCGAGACATGTTCCTAGTGAGAACCGCTGTTAGGAGTACGAGAGAAACAGCGCAATAAGAAATCTTCCCTGGAGAACCGTTAAGTTTAAATAGACCGAACAATATTTTCAGCTTATTCTTTTATTCGAAAGCTTACTTGGCATTTCGCCACGATTGTACATGGACATTTCGGTCCATTCTTATGTATTTTATATTTTCGAAAAATTAGTAAATATTTTATTATTCTACTTTATATTTTCGCCAAAGTTTGCGCGTCATTAGATAACATATATGTACATAAAACGAGGACTTTCTATCGTCTTTAAAATTCAAAAAAAGTATCGATGTATGGACTTTTTAAATACTATTTTTTAAAAACTTTGTACAATATTCTTTGAGCATTTTGTAATAATTATATTTACATTTTAAATGATACGTATACGCCAACGATAATAAGGCATTTGGTGTTTTTCAGCAAAAGGCATAGTCTAACACAGTGACCATTTTATCTCTGTTTAGTGATAAATAATAAGGATTTAATAATTCACTGTGTTACACTGTATTATCTGTGTCTCTTGCTGGAAAGCATCCAATATCACAAAGATATTTAAAAAATTCAAGATAAGGGAAAGAAGCCTGTTGATCAGAAAAAAGTCTAGAATTTTTCCCTGCGAAGTCAGAAAGAATTCTTCAAGGAGCGACTAATGCGGAGCATCGTGGATGGCGAGGAGTTGGAGAAACAATAAGAGAAAAAGATTTTGCCATGCGAGACATCGATCGTATATATCGTCGTGAGGACTTACGTTCCTCTCGTCCTTCGTCTTTCCGACCCTCATTCCCTCCGTCTCCTCGCACGGTTGGACTCGGGCACAAAAGCGGCGTCCTTTGAGGGAGGGCCCGAAACAAAAAAAGAGTCGGTGAACACGGCATGCAACCGTGTTAACTGCGCTGATTATGCATTCATATCCTTGTTTCGCGACAACCTGCTGATTGTTTCCACAAAACGCGACAACCCCCTTGTAGCCGTGTGTCCGGGCCGGTTTTTCGGCGGATTGTGAGGGAGACGCGGCCGTAGGTGCTGCTAAGGACGCGCGAGCCCGCCAGCAAAAAGGATCAATTTGTATGCGGGTGAACGCTCCCCATTTCTGTCGCCGTTCTTAACAGTCCCGGCCGTGTAACGTTTGCACGACAATGGTGACGGCGAAATATAAGGGCGCTCAAGAAATGCATGTGTATACCGGAAGACAAACAATTGAAGAGTCTGGGGCAACAATGTGCTAATCCACACGAAAGAGAAAGAGAAAGGCGAATAAGGTTCTAATTGTAAGATTTTGTCTGCAGGTTCTGACGATGGTTTTACTCAAAAGCGATTACATTTTTAGAAATAAATTAAAGTTAATGTAAACCAAGGATAGAAAATTCGTATAGATATTACAAAAAAATGGCTTATCGATTATTTTAATAAAGTTTGCTTATAAGATATATAATTTTTCAAAAGATTAATATTTTTTCTTAATACTTTTAGGAGGAAAATACCACATATTTGTTAATAATTTCAAAAATAATAAAAAAGGCTAAGATTTTAACTATCTCGAAATAAATAAGAAAATGCTGATAGAGATGAGCTTATTTATTCGTATATGAGATATCTCTTCATATTAGTACTAATTTATTTTTCAGTAATCTAAAACTTATTTGAAAAAAGACAAGACGCGCAAAATGAAATATAGAAGCGCTATCTTTCGTAATATACAAATCTCACGTGATCCGTCCTACTCATGATGATCTCCCATCACGATGAATAAGTTAGCGTTTCCTCAAGGTGTGTACACTTCATGATGCCTCGTTATCGGTGACATGTAAAGCTCCGATTAAGAAACATGATAAGAGGAATTTTTTTTTTCAGCACCCGAAAAACATGAAGAGTGTGTGAAAAATGTGTGTGATAAAACATGAAGTCGTTATATCAAGATATTATTTAAACGAGCAAAGTAAGAAAGAATAACATTAACAAAAATCAAAATTAAAATGCTTCGACAAACTTTAACAATTTTTGACAAATATTAGTACATGTATGTTAGTCAGAAATTAGTTTAATTGAAAATATATCCCGTTTTTTAATCTAGATAGAACAAAGTTAACAGAAGAATAACTCATCAATCAATCTTGTCGCAACAATAATTGACCAAACAACAGAAACGATTTAAAGGAGAAGAAATCGAGGAGATACGGAAGGCATAACAAACAAAAATAAAGAAACGGGAATAGGTAATAAGTGAAAGAGAATAACGAAAGAGAATAAGCTCGAATAACGGTAACATTGAACGTGAACGTAATCTCAATGTTTAAAAATTCTCATTGCTCAAATTAATGGAGGGCTTTATTACAAAATATTTCGGAAATATTGTTTGAGGTTTAATTTAAAAGTCCATACATAATCGGCCAACAAAAACCAAACTTAATTAATCAATTAAAAACCATCGATTCCATCGTTGATTCACTTTCATTAGACAGCATATGGATCAACATTTTATTTTATGCAGCCTTTGCGGCAACCGATTGCGTCAAAAGCTGTAAAGCCAGTTTTACTTCTCGATTGAGTGAGCACGATATAAGTCGATTGTTATTTAAAATGCACTTTTTAAAGAAAGAAAAAAAAGATTTAATATTTCTAATTTAAAACAAATTGATAGTACAATAAATTGAATAAATGAATAGAATAGATGCTCATAGAATTGCATTCTCCTATGAGCAATGCGTGCGAGGATAAATTGAACAAGTCATATTGATAGCAACGCATCGTAAAAGTTATTATGTTGGTGGAGAAAGGAGTATAAAGCGGCCTGTCGAGAAACTTGACAAGAATCTGAGTAAAACAAAGAGAAATGGTAGCAACTAGTTGCTTCTTATAGACATTTGCGGCTTCCTATTGATTGATTTGCGAGAGTCACGTTTGCGGTTCGTTAATAACGCGAACGTTCGTGACTTCGTGAGGGAGCTTCCACAAGTCCAGTGTTTAAAGAAGAGATATCGTGAGCATACAACGTGGTGAGCCAGAGAGTGCGCCATGAAATCCAGGATTACCGCTCACGATCGTCTCGCTAGTAAGGATCCAGTCTGAGTTTCGAGTCACGGATAACTTCTACCGGGTCGACCTCCAGGCTTCGTGCATCTTTGCGGCGTGACTGCTCGACTACGTTTATGTGAAAAGTTGCTTTGCACGTGCACATACCGAAGAGAATCCTGAGCGAGTTTGCACGAATTGAGAGAACGAAATATATACAACATGTAGATATCTGTATCTCACAATATTTGTATCATGATATGGCTGTAGTGCCGTATTAATTGGAGTTTTTAGAGATAAAATATTAATGTAATGTATACGTAAACATCATTATTACAAAAGTATATTAATAAATTATTTATAAAAACTATTTTTTAAGTTAAAATAAAATTCTCCACTTATTTGTCTTATATAGGCTGTAATTATTTTATTTAAAATAAGAAAAGAAGCTATGAGCCAAAACGATTGTGTGTTAACGAGTTCGTGTAATTTCAAAATTATATTAACAAAATTAAAATTAATAAACGTTTCGGTCTCACCATTGAGTTATTTTTAGTGCAATCGTATAAACCCACATTAAGTTGTTTTTTAACTTTATAAATATAATTTTAAAATTATGCGAACACGTTTTATTCATAGCTCCTTATTTTTCTTTATTTTAATTTTTATCTGCTAAGCCTTATTTTTACGTTTTTATTTTATTTTAAACGACATATATTTTATAATGTTATTGTTACACCACATGTACTCAGTATTGAATTATGAATAATGATTACAAATTTTGCATTTATTACACATACAAATAAACTTCTATCTTCCAATTTCTTTCTTGAAAAGTGATTCTTCTCATAATTTTTCGACATGCATATTTCTTCTTTACATATCAGCGTGATGAATTATGTGAGTATTATCTTTCTGTCATTCTGAACAAATTGCTGGTGGCATTATGAGAAGCTCAGAGATTCCATGGTGGACATTCTCGAAAGTTTTGACGAGAGATAATCAATAATGGTCGCTTCTATCCTGTAGGTAAGATTACACTGCAGGACTAATCAATGCTTCCACCAGTCGAGTATGCTTTGACTGATCCTTGGTGGATCGCAAATTGACAGTTCCGTCAAGGAATCGTGCGGACAAGCGGCAGGCAAGATCGCAACCGCTGCAAAGCGACCGTGAATAAGGCAACTGGTACTTGAAGAGGATAAAACCATTGAAGAGCAGCACTGAAACGGAGATTGCAAAGATAAACGAGTCCACCGTAGCATTGTGCATGCCGCCCCGAGGCCCCCGTGTTAAGTCATGCCGGATTCTTATCCTCCAGATCTATTCTCGTCGAACGACATACGTCGCTTTGAAAACAACGCCGTTACCATTTTTCCAGAAGGACCGCATGAAGGCGTTAATAATAGTTTACGTGCCATACAGGAAGATGTAAGACTAAAAATGTGCAAGCTTGGAATTCATTGCCTATATAATCTAAATGTCCTAAATGTTCGAATATAATGTAAATTTTACATGACGATTACTTTTAATAAAAATATCTTATATTGATAAATGATAACATAAATATATTATTTGCACCAAAGAAGATTAAGATTCTAATTTTGTTTAATATTTGCACATGTGTGTAATTTAATAATAAGATGCAAATTGAAGTAGTCTCATAAACTACGTGATTCGTTTGTCTTGTATGACAATTCCGTGACAGGACCTTTAAATCCATCATGTTTCTTCGTAATATATCAATAACTTTATTAGGAATCGCCTAATTAATTGTCTTCAATAACAGTTCAAAATTAAACGAGTGTTTCTAATGTATGATTTTGTATAATCCTGCATTATCTTTATAAGAGAGCTACATCTTTTTCATTAAGATTATAAAATGAATCATTTAAAACATATTCGTGGTATAAGTGTTCGTGCTTCATCTAGTAAGTTTTATCCGAATAATTTATTCACATAAATTTTTCTAAAAATATTTTTTTTTTCACGTGTATTTATATTCTAAAAATGCTATTTATTATAAATTTTATAATAAATATGTATAATATGCCACATCCTGCAAAGGTAACCATGTTTCAATCTTATCTTACTACTTTCTTTATTGAAAAATTTTTTCAAGACAATAAATTATGTGTTAAACAAATAATATACACATATAAATTTAATATTATTGATTATTGTATAGACGCTGCTTTGCCATCGCATTATGGACACCATACTAATATATATTTTGAGAATTATAAATTAAAATCGCAGCTATTACGGTCAGATCCATTATTTGCAATAAAAAAAAGTCATAATGTTGATGTCAAATATTTGGGACAGTTTCATCAAGGCAGCCTGCGGCTCGTTTCCAAAGAGGGCAAAACGATTCGCAAACAACGTAGTAAAACCAAGTCTAGCATGACTTCATTAAAGAAGAAATCATCGATGCATAAGAAATTGCCATCAGAGAATATAGCAAAAAGAGTGTATCATTATTCTACGTGTCAGAATGTCAAATTTAATAGCAATGAAATTAACAAACAATTCATGACTCATAACAATGCGATAATAAATGGCGCGAAGGATATTAATCGTCATAATAGTTTTATGGCGACTATTGAGAAATATCCTCGACCTCGATCATATGCAGAAATGATAGCCGATTACAGCGAATCCTTATATAAGGAAGCCACTGCAGGTGCACGAAAGGATAGTTTTTATTTCAACAATGCAATATGCAAGAGTCCATTCAGTACTTTCTCGGTTCCACCTCAGGCTAAGAAAATTATGAATGTTGCTGAATACAGTGAACTTTCAATTGAAAGACAAAAAAATGATTTTCCTTTTCCCGTTAAGTCATCTGATTTTTACAATCAACGTAACAACAGAAACACTATTGATTGTTACGATTTTCAACATCACACTACGTGCACTACAGAAGCAATGAACAAAAATATTAATCGGAACTATGTTACTACGAACGACGACTTGAAGAGCGACGATCAGTCTTATGCGAAATTAGTTGCTGATTGCAGTAAGTCCCTGCATAATATTCCTATTACAAATGTTTTGAATAATAATTTAGTATCAAAAAGGAACATGTTAGAAAGAAATTCTTTTGAATCTGTTATTGCTACGACAAGAAGAACCAGTGGCACGCAAGAGACAACGCGGAAGATAATTCCCGCTATTAGTACAATGCCACTCGAGAAAAATATCAAGGAAAAAGTGATTAATTTAAAGGAAAATGATTGGTTAAAAGAAATGGAAAACGTGATAAGTGACTTAAAAAATGTGACCGATAGAAAAGCCGCAAGAGTTGATGTTCCTAAGATGAAAAAATTTGATAATCAAAAGGAGAAAGATACGACAACTAGGAAATTGAGCTGTCAATCTGATAAAATCGATAGAATGGAAAAACGTAAAAAAGTTCTTGAATTGCAAAAGCACAATTATTCGCACTCGAGTGGCAAAATCTCAAATCTGCCACAATATTTTGGTAATGCAGCGGAAAGTTCAGCCGTAAAGAAAAATTCAACGCTTGCGTCAACTAGCGGTAATACTGTATTGAAACAGCCACAAGTAAAATTGCGGATGGTGCCTTCTGAAAAAGAATCCGTTGTATCCATCAATGTGAACCAAGATTCGTTTGGATCATTAGATCCTCTAAATTCTACCTCAAAACATCTCTCTGTCGTCGTGCAATCTGATCAAAAGGAAGATGTAAAATTAATGGACAATCAATGGAACGCCCCAACGCTTCGGCGTACCAATAAAAGTGCATCGCAGAGCAGTGCTTTCGGTCCAATGTATATTTCAATTAGCGAAGACTCTGCACCAGTCAAACAAATTGAGTTTTCAATTAATGGCAAACCGGTTTCGGAGCTGAAGAGTATCACTGCGCGAACGGAGAAACTAGATGTGGTGAGTTCCGCGGATAAAATTGAGATCAGAATACCGTTTGTCAAGGACGATTTGAATGTATTGGACAAAACCAGAGAGGGTGACCTATCGAAAGGAATTAAGCCAAAAGGGCAAATATTGAATGTGCAAATATCTGCCAATTTTCAGGACGAATCTACGAAAGATAGTAGTATTGAGAAACCAGCGAAAACAATACAATACCAATATGACAGAGACACGATACCAATATCACAACCAATTTCTAAAACTCCTTATTTGTCTAACAATTTCCCAAAAGTTCGTGAGGAAACTTTTAGCAGTAATAATATACAACAATACGAGTGTACTAAACAAATGGATATTAAATTTGACGATAACGAAACAAATATTAAGAAATATAAAACAGGCACTTCGTTGATCAAAGAAATAAATAATGTTGAAGTTGAAAGTTTGAATACAAGAAGAACAAATACTACAGGATTTCCGGAAGCAAATAAGTACAATGAAAATGAATCTTCTGACAATCGCGTTCCTTCAAAAATGATCCCTTGGTGGTCCTCCTCGGATTCTTTCAACAAGATAAGAAAGAAGGAAAATGATCATAGACCGCTTATACCACCTTCAAATAAAAATCAATATAAACCAATTTCAAGTTTGAATCAAAATTTTGTCACTGAATCATTACTATCAACGCCGAAAAAGACATCAAATTCAAAGGTATTACCAAAGAGAATTCAATTAATGAATAACACAACTACAAATAATTCTAGCAATACAAGTCCAAATTCTATAAATCTTTATGAAGAATCTAAACCATCTCTTCATTATGCATGCTCATTTAGATTAAAATCAAATCAAGGAAATTCCAATATGCCTGAAATTATAAGAAATGGTTTGAAAGCTGAAGATAAACAGACATTAACTGCGAAAAAAGATATCAATAAAATTTCTGGAATTAAACAAATGGAATCGATTACATTATTTAAATCTGATACAATGAATATAAAAAGCAAACGTGATATAGGTATAAAAGAAAAGACATTTGTACAAGAAAAAGTCAAGCCACCAAGTAGTGCACAAAATTTATCATCAAAAACACATCAAGAGAAAAAAAAAAGTTATTCACTAAAACAAACAAGGTCAATTGATGATGTATCTAAAAATATAAAATCAAAAATAGAAGATATTTTGGATGTTATAAAACCAATTGAAAATAATAAAAACGGCACAACAGATTATGGTTTAAAGAAGATGTCATCAAGACAATTAACAGCAAAATTAAATAATGCAGCGAAAGAAATTCAAAATCCAATAACTACGATAAAGGATTTTATTCCAAATTCATCTACAGCGGAAATAGTGTCAAAGAAGATTGATAAAACAATGTTAATAAAGCAAATAGAACCAACTAATACAGAAAAATTAAAATTAAAGAGCGATATTTCGCCGAAGAAAAAAGATTTAACAATAAAAAACGATGCGATCATGAATCTTAAAGCGCTGAATAACAAAGTTAACAATATGCAAGAAGTAGATAAGAATGATTTTACAAGTTCAAATTCTCCAAATTTAAAAAATTTTCCAAAATTAACGCAAACACTAAAAAAACAGGAACAATTCGTTAACATCATTTATCAAGATAAATCGAAACAGGATTTTAAATCATCATCGAAGATTAATAAAAATGAACATAATTCGTTAATTACTTCTTCATTAAGGACTTCTTCAGGAATGATGCAAAAATCAGAAATCTCAGGAAAGGTATTATTAGAAGAGTCAAAGCAAAATAGACCAAAAACTTTAACAAGCATAAAGAATACTCTAGAAATGAATCAAAAATTCGAAAAATTACAAAATTTGACATCATCGAAATCGGCTAATCCATCCAAAGAATCTTCTGATACGATAATAATAGATAAATTGCCATTGAAAACCGAAAAACAAATACAATCAAAACCGGCCAAAAATGCAAATATGACTAAAATTGTCAATATAAATAAGCTGTCCTCTTCACAAACAGTATCAATTTCAAAAACAAAGGATTGTACAATATCTAAAAATTCAATAGATAAAAATGCAAGAGAAATATCTCAATCTGTAAAACCGAAAAGGATCAAAGTGAGAGATATGATAGCCGAAATCGTAACGAAAAATCCCAAGAGTAAGAATCTCTTACCGAAGGAATGTGAGGAAAATTGTTTTAAGGCAGGATCGGACAAAGAATATTTTTTGGGATCAGCTGGTTCTTCAAGGAAGCCAAATGTTTCGATTAGTTTCAAGTCAGCAGATTCAAATACGAAATCTAGGGTAATGTCAAACAACAATTGTACTTATAAGAAAAAATTGTTTATGGAATCATTTTATTCAAATTTTAATAGGAAGAATGATATTATGTCAAATTCGCAGTCAGCCATATTCAAAGTTCGACAAAATTTGAATGACGTCGATATGCTGGAATATCCTGCGCCAAATGTAATCAGAAGTAATGGATTGTGGATTAATATGGATAGACCAGAGAAGAGTATACTATATTCCGCATGGTTACAACGATCTGAAAATGATATCAAAAAGAATGAAAAATTATTTTGATTGTGTATTTTGTTAAAAAAAATATCACGTGTGTGTACAGATTTGTTAAAATATATTTACATCATGTCAAATTATCTATATATACTTTAACAGCATCAATTATTGATGCATGTTGTATTGTTTATTAAAAAAAAATACTTTAATAAGTAATATTTCCCATAAAGTTGTTAGATGTAATAAAGAGTTTCGTCAAAGAGATATGCACATGCATTATCTAATGCCGTAATCGAATTCCTTGATCGTTCTAGAAACCGGAATGAGTGCTTGATGGTAAAACTTCGATGGCTTGCATAAAGGTAATCGTTTTTCTGATAGCTTTGCATTCCGTTGAAGGAACTCGTCGAGTAAACACTGGATTGGGTAATTAAAATTCTCATTACGCCGGCGGCATCTTGAAACGCGCCGTGGACAATAGGCTCGAAACGAAGTCGCGGGTTGCAAGGATAGGATCGTGCCGTAGAGAGGCAGAGGGTGAAAGCATAAATAAAGCCAATTGGTTATGAAGAAGGAAGGAACCTGTGTCAAAATGTTGTAGAAAAAAATTATATAAACCTTATTATACTTGTGTGTGAAAATTCTAATTCATTATGATTAATTATGATTCTTCAATAACCTTCTTTATAGTCTATAAATTAAAATACAAAATATCTACAAATTAAATTAACAAGAAAAGAAATATTTTTTACTATTTATCAGATGATATTTATTATTAAATAAATATATCTGGTAAAATAATAAAACATATTCCTTTTCTTGTTATTTCATTACAACGAAATAATAAGAAAAGTTTTCGCACAATAACAATAATTGTCAAGTACTATATTCGGAAGAATATTTTTAAACAAATTCTTTCTCTCTCTCCTCCTCTCTCTCATCTTTCTCCAACATTCTAGCAAACGATCGAAGCAACACGTATGCACGAACTCGATCCTTCGGGTCATGCTATCGGTGCGGCACGATACCCGTCATTATGCCAATTCGCGACGGGCACCAATTTAGGGCCTCCGACGTGAAGGCCTTCGACTTGTCGAAGATGGTGCCCCATCATCGAAGGGCGCCGTGGTTCGTGCCACGTCCCGTGCGCGCGAATGAGAAACCCATCATTACACACGCGTTTCACCGCGAGTATAGTCCTGTTCTGGCAGTTCGCTAGTCATTCGAAGTAATGCGTCCTGATTGTCAGGGTCAAGCGAAGCTTTATCGACAGCTGCACGTTGAATATATTTTGTTCATATAGTTCTATTGCACTTATGTTCATTAATGTTGCTATTCTCTTCAACAATCTAACTAAATCTAACTAATAGCCTTATTATATTAACACAATGTAATACTAATTATGATTGATCATTTTGCTTTTTCGTTACCATAAACAAAACTATAATTTGGCAATAAAAAAGAATTCATCGTAGAAGTTCTTTCTTTAACAGAGTACACATATATACAGTTTTCTATTTGAATACTTTAACTTTTTAGTTTTTCTAATGAGTTAATCGAATATCAGCAGAGAGATTGTCAAGACACGAGTCACTCTTGATTGTAAAAAAAAAAAATAAAACGCAGTATTCCTTTTCTAATTTATTATGTGTCATCAAGCGAAATAAAGAAACACTAGTAAAATATTATCGTGTTGTACAAAGCTTGTATGCACGCAAGTCTTAGCCGACGATAAGGCCGTTAATTATCGAGAGCGACGAGGAGCATCCTTCATATAGCCAGGAATGCAGATGAGTCCTTTTTTTTCGCTACTCGACATTCATCTTAAGATCTTGACGGTCGCTTCTGCCCACCCTCCTGCCTTCGCTTTCCTTTGCGCGGCAACGAAAGTTGATCTGACCCCATGAGAGTCCGGTTCAACCCTGCTCTCCTCCTCTTCCTTTACCCTCCCGCTGCCCCAGCTGCTGCGTCAGACCCTGGCTTGATTTATCACGGCGTTGCCAGCAGCCTCTTATAAATGTTGAGAAACAACCCTACTGCTACGTTCATCGTTCATCGCAGCGGAACGCAGAAGATTCCTTGGAGTCCCGCTGACTTTTCCTCGCGTCCTTGAACGAACATCAGGTAGAAATCTCGAGGATTCTCCGCCCCTTTGCGATGATATCAAAAAAAATATCCATTTGAGAAATACTTCAAATGGAATATACCTTTCCACGAATTATAATTTGTAAGAATTAATAAAATATATATGATGTATATGTAGACTTCAACATATTTTCAATATACATATACAACGTGGGTGTGTGATTTTATTTTATTTTAAAAATATAAAAATATATCACGAGTTGTTATTATAAAATTGTTGAGTGAAAAATATTGTAAGATATGAAAAATATTGCAAACTGTCGCATCATCTGTTCTTTACAACCAATAAAAAATGATTATTCTCTACACAAGTTTCATTCCTATTTATCTCATTGTCAGCAAGCTCAGTATGGTACGAGAAGGCTGTTTGTAACGCAATCGTAAAAGCATCCAGCTTGCAATCATTGAATACCCGGATATGCATTCTTTAATGTATTTTTAGTAATTGTGCTATGAATAATTAATATTGAATTCTATTCTCTTACTGGAAAAATTTATACACATAAATAATTTTTAATGAATAAATATGCAATGTTTTAGAATTAAATGAAAGAATAAATATAATTATCAATCATACGTTATTATAATTATCAAACTGGAACTTAATCAAAACTATGAAATATTAAAAACAAAATAAAATTACAGAGCGTGTATCTTTTTGATAGAAAATATTATTAAATGTAAAATACATGTATGAAGAATTTACATTATTTCTGTAGCAGAATTGCATGTATCAGTTTTTATGTATATGCATGCGAGTTGCATGCTACATGAGCTGCAAGGACAACGTGGCCCCCACCGCCTACTTGAGGCGCTTCAAATTAGCTTTTGTTTGTTTTAATTATGCAATGTCTACTATATCGGTCTCATTCGTTGCACACCATGCAATACTGCGTTATGTACCTCTTGATGTATTACGGCTACCAACAGCGAGAAATATTAATTGCGTCCAGCAAAAAACTATCACTCATCGTCAAGAATTCATAATTTTTTACTGAGACTGAACCATTTGATAAATTATTTATAAACATCCTTCGGAGAATGTTTTCCTCAATAGTTTGATAGTATTTATAGCAGATCTATATATTCTTAAAAATTTGTTTTATTTATTAAAAGTCTATAATAAATGTTATATATATATACATACTTTCAAAATTATATTGCTGTGCATATATATAGGTACACGCAACATACTAACGATGCACGTGCATCTTACGAGCGGCTTATTTAATGAGGGATTAAAATCTCAACAAGAGATTTCTCCAGATCCGAAGTTCTCTATTTTTCTCATTTGCTTTTTAACCATCCTCTACTTTGCTTGATGTAATCCTCCCTTTTTCGTTATTGCAGGAGAATCAATTATTTTTCTTTAGATTGAAATGAACTTCGTGATCATTTTCGTCGATGCTCCACGATGCCTATCTATAAATCCTTTCGTATGAAGAATTCTTTATGAAAGTAGGAAAAAAATTAAAAAGAAAAGAGCAGAGGGAGAGAGAGAGAGAGAGAGAATAAAACAAAGAAAGAAGAAATCGTAGTCTATGTTCTGTATAGGTTCGAATTTTGATTATGTTATTCATTATGCGATAAAAAAAAAGAGAGAAAAGAATAAAGTTAAATCACATGAACCATATCGCTCGATAACAATTACAACAGAGATAGGATGTAATTGTAACATTTCTGTATTATTTATTAAATAACTCTAAATTTTTTAAATATTTTTTTCTAGAACACGCTGTAAAACAAGTGTTAATTATTGTAATAAATTAAAAAGAAAATTGTAAATATAATTTAATGAGATTGTAAATATAATTCATAACAAGTGTAACATATTTGAATCATAAATAAAGATAACAAATTTAAGCAATACAATAAAGATAAATGATAGCTTATAAAAGATGCATTGTAAACAGCAAGGTAGATAAATTTAGGCTTAAACCGATCTTGGTCCCACTGTCACTTCGTTCGTATACTTGGCTCTTGTAAGTCTCTCTCCGGTTTTTACGCTTTACTCGACGGGACGAGTGCTCTTTAATCCCCTAGCGAAGGAGACGAAGGGGCTTAGGAGAGAAACATCGAGAGAAGGTAGAAAAAGTCGTATCCAGATAAAGTTGCGAAATCGAGCCACTGAGCAAGCTAATCCGCTTACAGAATCGCCGCGGGCGACGAAACGAGGAATGCACCGATGTTCGCGGTACAACGAAATCTCGCAGCAGATAAGAGTCTTAAGTCGCGAAGTTATAGAAACATCAAGGGGGAGGGATGATGCTCGTCGCTAGCAAGGTTAAGCTTAATGAGGGTTGGAGGACATGAATAATAATGAATCGCATAGTAATATCAAAAAGAAATTATTGCGTCGATTGCGGTTTTTTTCAAAAAGTCTAGTAGCCACAGTCGTAATTTACGATTCCACAATCAAGATTTACAAATAAATAGAGCAAATAAGCAAATTAATTCATAGGAAAAGCGTTGCAAAATTCATATACTACTTTTAAGAACACCCACATTATGCTAAAATTGCAACATCGAGAACAACTTTTAACAAAGATTTTTAAGTTATACAAAAAAATTTATATTTTTAACCCTTACCGTACTAATATGGATAACTAGTGACCGAGCGATTCCTGTTTGTGCAAGTTTCTTTGAGTCTTTCGGTAATTATAAATTATATTACATATTTTATTATTTTCCAAAATAAAGAGTTAATATTTATTCTAGAAAGTTGAAAGTATGTTGGTGAATTTTTAGAGATTTTTTTTATTATTTTGAAGAGGTGAAAAAACGAAGAGATTTGAAGTGACCCTTGATGGTATGGATGAGGTACCAAATTGTAGATGGTATGGTAAGGGTTAATAATATTAATATAAAAGTTTTAATTTTACTTTTATAACATTTTCAATAATAATAAAATATCTCATGTATCAGTAAACAATAGAACGAAGTTCAATTTCTTCTATTTATTTAAAATTCTAGGAGATTGCACTGGTATCTTATCATTTACAACGTCTATGCCTGCGTAATTCATAACAGGCGCGCATTCACGGCGCTAATTGAGTGCGTACCGATACGTCGTTCTACAATAAATCGATTTCTTTATTGAGATCAGCTCTGGAATGTGTGTGTACGCCTCCCTCACTTCTGTACAGTGACAGTAGCTTTTAGAGCGGGAATTTCTAGAGAGGAAGAAACGCGATAACGCGGCAAGAGCAACGTGACAGTCTCTTTCTTTTTCTTCCCGCTTGTTTTCCTTTTTAGTGAGATGTCGCCGATACATTAGCATAATTCGCTTGGTTCACCGCGAGGTAATGGAGTAATTGCTTTGTGAATTCCGCCATGTCTCGGACTGTCTCATCCTATTTATCGCTTACACATCGTTCTGCCCGCTCACCACAAGCCCGGGTATTA